CAAAATTGAGTGAGCAGAGACTTAAGTATAACCACAGTTATTACTTTGTTTTCTTTTTTTCTGGGTACGGGAATTGAACTCAGGAGCACTCAACCACTGAGCCACTTCCCCAGCCCTATTTTGTATTTTATTTAGAGACAGGGTCTCACTGAGTTGCTTAGTGCCTTGCTTTTTCTGGGGCTGGCTTTGAACTCAGGATTCTCCTGTCTTAAGCTGTGTTTACACTCTCTGATGCTAAAATGTAATAAAATTGTCCAAAATTACCTGTGTAACTCTACATCATATACAACCAGACAAATGAGAAACATTTATGTATGAGGTTTACAGGGTGTGCTACTACACTTGACTGTTTTCCTTTCTTAATTAAAGAAAAATATTTGCTAAAATGTTGAATGGTATATCAATAAACATTATCGATTAACAAAAAATTTTTGTCATATCTTGTTTTCTAGGGAATGGTTGTATCTCCTGTCACATGAAATGTTGAATCCGTACTATGGCCTCTTCCAGTACTCAAGAGATGACATCTATACATTGCAGATCAACCCTGATTCTGCAGTGAATCCAGTATGATTTATAGTTGTAATGATGTGAATTGGGACCTATTGTGCTTGTTTATCTCTAAATATCAAGTGAAGTTTATTACATTGATTGATTGATTGTGGTACTAGGGATTGAACTCAAGTGTACTCTACCACTGAGCTACCTCCTCATTCCTTTTTATTCTTTTTAATTTTTAACAGCGTCTCACTGAATTTCTGAGATTGGCCCAGAATTTAGGATCCTTCTGTCTCAGCCTCATGAGTAGTTGGGATTACAGGCATAAATTTCCATGCCTGGCTCAATATAGTTTATTATAATAGAAATTACTTGTTCATGTCCTAGTCATGCTCTTTGACTCAGTAATTCTTCTAGAAAATTTTCTCAGGTGAATGATTATGGATATATGCAACAATTTAAGCACAGGGCTGTTTATTATTTATAATAGCTCTAGTTGAAAACAATAGTTATCCATAAGATTGGTGAAGATGTGGGGAAAAAGGTATACTCAATACATTGCTGGTGGGACTGCAAATTGGTGCAACCACTATGGAAAGCAGTATGAAGATTCCTTAAAAAACTTGGAATGGAACCACCATTTGATTGTTTTCCCACTCCTTGGTATATACAGTGATGCAGATACATCATTGTTTACAGCAGCTGTATTCACAATAGCTAAGCTATGGAACCAACCTAGGTACCCTTCAGAAGATGAATGGATATAGAAAGTGTGGTGTACATATACACAATGGAATATTACTCAACCATAAAAAATAATTACTTTATGATTTTTGCTGGTAAATGGTTAGATCTGAAGACTATCATGCTAAGTGAAATAAGCCAGTTCCCAAAAACCAAATGCTGAATATTTTGTCTGATATAAGGATGCTAACACACAGTGGGGGTGGGGGGAGAATAGAAGTTCATTGGATTAGACAAAGGGGAACGAAGGGAAGGGAGGGTAGATAGGAATAGGAAAGACAATAGAATGGATCGGACATATCTTTCCTATGTCCGTATATGAATACATGACCAGTGAAACTCTGTATCATGTACAGTCACAAGAATGGGATCCTAATTAGAATGAGTTATACTCCATGTATGTATAATGTGTCAAAATACAGTCTACTGTCATGTATATCTAAGAAGAACAAAAAAAGAAAAACAAAACAGTTATCCATAAGAAGGAAGATTAGAAGATTAAATTATGACATAAAGCAGAATAATAGAAATGGTTAAGAACACAGATTCTGGGATTGGAAGACATGGAATCATATCCTGTTCTCATCATTTACTTAGCTTTGTGTTATGGGTGAGCTCATTAACTTAAGCCTCAATTTTTTAATTACTAAAAATAATAAGTATGGTTCATGTCTCAGAGAAGAGTGTGAGAGTTGAGTGGGACCTTGTACATTGCGAACTTAGTATAGTGCTATACTTTTTTTTAAATATACTCTTTTTAGTTGTTGATGGACTTTATTTATTTATTTATGGTGCTGAGAATCTAACCCAGTGCCTCACACATGCTAGTGCCTCACACAAGTGCTCTACCACTGAGCCATAACCCCAGCTAGTGCTATACTTTTTAAACCCTATTATACATTATTATGAACTTAGGAAGAGAAGCTGTCTACAGGCATTAAGTGAAGCTGCAGTGGGACTATAATTTGGACTGATTTCTAAAAGAGAAATTTTACAAAGGACCTTTACCCTCTGAGAGAGGCATCAACTGTAACACGTTATTTTATAGTGATGTTTAAAAGCTTGTGTGTGCCCTACAGAAACATTCCTGAGTTTTATTGAGCTTTGATGTGACCATCTGTTCCATTTAAATAGTCATGGAGCACAAATTTGGTATTTATCAAAAAATCTTAATGCCTACTTAAATATTTACTTTTTATTTAAAAACTTCTTTGATAGTTTCTAGCTTGAGTATTTATATAAACTTTTTTTCAATTTCAGGAACATTTATCATATTTCCACTTCGTTGGACGAATAATGGGAATGGCTGTGTTTCATGGACATTATATTGATGGTGGTTTTACATTGCCTTTTTATAAACAGTTGCTTGGAAAGTCAATTACTTTGGATGACATGGAGTTAGTTGATCCAGATCTTCATAACAGTTTGGTGTGGATACTGTAGGTGGAATCTTATATCTGTTTATTATAGCTAGAATATGAGCTTTAAAAAAGAATCACTCCAAAACTATTTATTTTAAAACTTAAAAAAATATGTGCTGAAAACATATTAAATGTAGTTACATGAGTAATAGGCCCACATAAGACTTTCCCCCTTTCTGCTGCTTTCCTATACATTTCAAATTCCTTAAAGTTAGCAGGTGTTAGTACTTTAAAAAGGAAAAAATTCTAGTACAGATTGAGTATCCTTTATCCAGAATGTTTGGAACTGGCATTGCTTTCAGAATTTGGATTTGTTTTAGATTTTGAAATATTTGTCTATACTTACGATATTTTTGTGGTGGGGGGGGACCCAAGTATGAATATAAAATTCATTTATGTTTTTGGTATACCTTTTCTACATTGCCTACAAGTAATTTTATATTTATTTTTTAGTGTGCCTATGTTTTTACTTTGACCCCTCCCTTGAGGTCAGGTGTGGAATTTTCCATTTGGGGCATGTTGGCACTGAAAATGTTTTGGATTTTGGAACTTATGGGATTTAGGATTTTTAAATTAGGGATACTCAATTTATATATTCTGTACTATTTACATATACAGTACTATGTGTAATGATTTCCTCAATGTGGTAAAGTTCTGTTCCTGTTTTGCATGTGGAAGAATAGCAAATTTCTGAATCCATTGCTTTTTAATGAAGTGCTGATTGTTGGAATCATAAATAAGAATCATAAATAAGAACTAATTCTATTTAAGTTAATAAATAATTTAGGAAGATATGCTGGTAGAACTTACTTTTATGAAATATACAGATTACTTTCTCTGGATTATTCAGGTCAGTGAAGGAGGTTCCCAGATTCCCTAAGGCCTTTTATCTGAATGTCAAAATATAACTGAACTTTTCTTACATTGTGGTCCTAGCAAAGTTCAGCTTTGATCAAGGTTATTTCTCATTAGTAAGGAAGTGAAATGTTACTTGTATTTATATTAAAGCTTTTTTACTTTTCTGCCCAAGAAAAGTATGTGGTAGTATAAAAAGTAGAAAATGAATCTGACCTTATGTTTATCATATCATAAAACTATCTTAGTTTTATCTGTCTCACCAGTTAATAAACCTATAGGACTGATGTTTTAGGTTTCCCAGTTATGTATCTTTTTCTCTGTTTCCTGTCCAGTGAAAATGATATTACAGGTGTTTTGGACCATACTTTCTGTGTTGAACATAACGCATATGGTGAAATTATTCAGCATGAACTCAAACCAAATGGCAAGAGTATCCCTGTTAATGAAGAAAATAAAAAAGAATATGTCAGGTAAACATTTATCTGTTCTCAAGATTGAGAATTTTTGTAATGTTCTAGAATGTCAGTATGGACAAACATTAAGTAATTTTATTCCTATAAAATATGCTTTCATAGAATTTAGTGACTTAAAAACAGTCACTGTTGTTTTTCACAATTCCAGGGGTCAGTAATTTGGCGAAGAATAATAGGGATGGCACATTGCTGTTCCACAAAAAGTCAGCTGGACTAAAGGGCCAAGGTGGCCTCTTCATTCTTACAAGTGAGAACTCGGCTAGGATGGCTCAAATGGCTGTGGGCTGGCAGGAACAACTGTCATCTGAGGGCATTGTCTGGGGCCTCATTGCCACTAGGCTCCTTGGTACTCCCTTTACAGCATCAAAGATCTCTATCTCTCTTCCAGCAAAACAGTCAGATTTCTTGGGGGTGGCTGGCTTTCCAGAGCACAAAAGCAGAAGCTTCCAGATCTTTTTAAAAACTAGCATGGCATTGTCAACTTGATGTCTGCTGTATTGTTTTGGTTGAAATGAGTCACAGGCCAGCCCAGGTTCATTGGGGAGGAGGGGCTGAACATAGGTGGGAATGCCAGAGACTGGGAGCATCAAAGCTATGTGTAGTATAGCTATTTCAGGGAACTTTGTGTTGTATTCCTAGCACTTTGCCTATTTATAAATGAGTACCTAGTGAGTTTGAGGGAGAAATATAAGAAAATGTTGTTCATGTTTTATAAAATACAAATTGAGGAATTTTGAAATTGGTTTAATACTTACTATGGTAACTAAAGTCTTCTAAATATAAAACTGGATCAGATTTAGGAGTTTGAGCTTCATATGTACACAGAAACATGAATATTATTGCTATTTTGTATATATTATTATCCCCAAATCATTTTTTTGGACACAATACCTTTATATGTGGTGCTGAGGATTGAACCCAGGGCCTTGCATGTGCTAGGTGAGCGCGCTACCACTGAGCCACAACCCCAGCCCCTATCCCCAAATCTTATTAGCTAAAATTTTCCTTCTTCAGAATGAGACCTCTCAGTTTCATACACTGTTGGTGGGATTTGGGGAAAGCAGTTGATACAGCTACCAAAGTGAACTTGCATATGCCCTTTCACTGGCAGTTCTGTTTTTGGGACTCTCCTACAGAAACACACATCTAATTAAAAAAATATGAATAAGGATGTTCAGTAAAAGAATGCTTATAGAAAAATTAACTACCAAAATGTTTTTAGAGTAAAATGATTATACATTCAGTATAATATTATGTGGATGTTTAAGAAGAGAGATTGTATAAGCTATAAGATTTAAGAAGCGGGCTAGGGATGTGGCTCAAGCGGTAGCGCGCTCGCCTGACATGCGTGCGGCCCGGGTTCGATCCTCAGCACCACATACCAACAAAGATGTTGTGTCCGCCGAGAACTAAACAATAAAACATTAAAAATTCTCTCTCTCTCTCCTCTCTCACTCTCTCTTTAAAAAAAAAAAAAAAGATTTAAGAAGCAAGTTCTAGAAGAATTACCTAGGGACAAAATTGTGTTGTTGTTTTTTTTAATTATATGGCTGTATAATTATTTGGTTCTATACCAAATATAGTATTTGCTAGAAGGAGGGAGCAGAGGTGGGGGCCTGAAAATAGGGAGGGCAGAAGAATGGACTTTCAGGTTTCACTTGGTCTCCATGGTTAATGTTTGATTTTTCTTTATATTGGTGATTGCTCTGTTACATTTCTGATAAAAAATGTAAGAATGGCTGGGAATTTCTCTCATCCCTGCTGCATTGTCAGTCTAGGATCCAGTGTGTCCTCAGTTTTTAGATTTACTTTCTCCAGGGCTTATGTGTTTATCAACACAATAATAAATCCTGTGCAACTGTAGGAGTGAGATAAATAAGGACAAGAATTATATGGTTTTGCTGCCCCTTGAAACCAACAAACAGATCCTCCAGACAATATAGTATTAAGTAATTATTTATTAATTAGAGAAATAGTCATCCAAGTTTGGAAAAGGAAATATTGATAACAAATTTGACAGAAAAGTAGTCCTGATGTGTTAGATTGAGAGGTTTCCTGGGTAGACAGGTAAATGAAAGCAATTTATTTTTAAATGACAAACTCCAGTCAGAGCACAAGTTATACAATTGATGTATAGTTTAGTGCTTTTTGGGAGAGGGGTAAAGTGACATCTTCCAGAGTTTTTACAGCTTCCAGTGAACAATGAATATTTATTCAGAGAGTGCTGTTGGCTTTAGTTTCTTCTCATTTTGGATATGAAGATTCCCTACCTCCTTTTCCCCAGTAGTCCTGCCCTAGATATAAACAGAAGACCCAGCAACACATTCTGATAACATTTTCAAATACAGCCAGAAAAAATGGTCATCTTTTGAGTCAGTGGGCTATTTTTCTCTGGTTTGTTGGAATGTGTGTTATAAGAAAGAAATTTTATCAAGTTTGTTTGTGTATGTTTGCTGGAGATTGAACTCAGGGCCACGTGCATGTTAAGAAGCATGTGCTCTACCACAGGTCTATACCCTCAGCCAATAGGAGTTGAACCTCAGACTATCTGAGCTCTAGTAGACTTCTAGTTTACTAGTAGTTTCTCTGATTTGAAGAATTGCTTCATTAATATTGCTTTTATTTGTGGAAGTTTACATTTTATCAAGATTGAACTGCCTCACAGCTTGGGATCCATTTATCCCCATTAGTTTGAGTTTTTTTTAAAAAAACTTTAGAAAAAAATTCTTTTTTTAAAAAATTATTTTCTAACTGTTGATGAGTCTTTTTATTTATTTGTATGCGGTGCTGAGAATCGAACCCAGTGTCTCACACATGCTAGGCAAGCGCTCTGCCACTGAACCACAACCTCAGCCCTAGAATAAATTCTTGATGCTAGATGTTTATAAAGTACAGTGTTGCTGAAGAAGTGATTCACACTAATTACCAAATCTAAATATATCTGATCATACGAAACCCCTGCCTGATGTTTATAGGCTCTATGTGAACTGGAGATTTTTACGAGGCATTGAGGCTCAGTTCCTGGCTCTGCAGAAAGGGTTTAATGAAGTGATTCCCCAGCACCTGTTGAAGACATTTGATGAGAAAGAGTTAGAGGTCAGTACATCCATGTTATGACATCATCTAGCGTGATAAGATTAGCAATTATTTTGTTTCTTAGTTTTTAGAGGTAAGTTGTGTTTCTAATGCTTTGAAAGTTTTTTATTTTTTTATTTTTTTTTATTAGTTACACATGACATTACAATGATCTTGACAATTCATACATTTGAATCAAATGGGGTATAATTTCTCATTTTTCTGATTGTACAGGTTGTAGAATCACATTGTCATACAGTCACCTATATACATACAGCAGTAATAATGTTTATTTTATTCTGCTGCCCTTCCTATCCCCCCTTCCCCTCCCCTCCCTCCCATCACTTCTCTCTACCCAATCTAATGTGACACACTTTTCCCCCCCTCACAACATCATACATGTATTCTGTATAACGATGAGGGTCTCCTTCCATCTTCCGTGCAATTCCCCTTCTCCCTTCTTTTCCCTCCCACCTCTCTTCCCTGTTTAATGGTAATCTTCTTCTCATGCTCTTCCTCCCTGCTTTGAAAGTTTTATGGTTCAATGCTTTGAGAATTCTTATTCACCGGAAGTCTTTTATGCTTGGAATATCTTTGAGTAAGCTTACATTATGAACATTTTTTCTTTTTCTCCTGTTTTGGTATTGGTAATTGAACCCAGAGGTACTTTACCACTGAGCCACAATCCCTAGCATTTATTCTTTTTTTTAATATTTATTTTTTAGTTTTAAGTGGACACAATATCTTTATATTTATGTGGTGCTAAGGATCGAACTTAGCTTGCTAGGCAAGCACTCTACAACTCAGCCACAACCCCAGCCTTCCCAGCACTTCTTATTTTTTATTTTGACACAGGGTCTTACAAAGTTCCTTAGGGCATTGCTAAATTGCTGAGTCTAGTCTTGAATTTGAGATTTTCCTGCCTCAACCTCCTGGGATTATAGGTATGCACCATTATGCCTGGCACAATGTGAACATTCTTAATTTCCTTATTGTCCTTTCTTCTCTTAAACAGACTTCATGTCTTATGTGTATATTCTTCCAAATTTTTTTCTGTTCCATGATTTAGTGGTTATCGATTTAACTAAGTAAAGCCTTGTCAACTATCATATTGAACTTTATTTGGATAAAGGTCTAAGCTCAGTTGTATTTGTACTAAACTTTGCTAGAAAACATTTAGTAGACAGATCATTAGAGGAAGTAAATAAAACACTTAGGAAAACTATACAGTATCTAATCACCTTTAGACCTTTAGAAACATTCATATACCAACAGTAGCTATACTCAACAGTTAAAAGTTTGTTTCTAATTAAAACTAGTCTTTATAGCACCTCAGATCTGGTTAAAGATGGTTAACGTCTTTTAATAGTCACCTTTAATGATTAACATCTTTAATAGGTTAAAGTTTAACAATCTGGTTAAAGTTATAATAAACATCTTTAACAAACACATCTGAAGTTTCTTCTGAACTACTTTGAAAAATTAATGAGGTTTTATTCTGCCAAAGGTTCCAAATTATTTAGTAATTAGGGATAGCATAAATATTTGAAGTCTACAACTATCTTAAAACATGTATTCATTAATATCAGTGTCCTAACTAAATGTGCTGTTTGCAAATAAATCTAAAAAGGTTCATTTGTCTTAGTGCTATCTCCATTCCTTCTGCAACTTATTATTCATAGTAATATGGCCAGAAGGAGGTGATCAGGAAGGGGAGGGACACATAGCAGCAGGAGGGGCACTAAAGTTGAGATACAGGACCTTTTCATCTGTTTATGAAACATTAAATGAGTTTTCTTTAGAGGAGCAGAAATTAGAAAGCAAAGAATTTGGAAGGTGTCTTTTGTGTTCTGAATGCATCCATAATCCTTATATGGTAACCTTTTCCCAGTGACTTAGATTCAGTAATCTTTTAGAAGCCTATACAAACTTTGTTGGAGATCTTGTTCCGTAGGGGTAGGATTTACTTATAGTTTCAACTACTAATGAAATTGTTTAAATTTTTTAGAGTTACACTGGATTAATAGGATTAATTATAATCTAGGATACACAAGTTACATTGTGTTTTACATTATATACTTTCATAATTCACCATTATAAACATGTTAGATTAATAATATGAGTTAGTCTTCGACCCTAAAGAGATATATTAGTAGTGTCAAATGATTTTTGATATAGTTCATCTCTACTAACCCTGCATTAGGATGCTAAGCAGAGTTCTATAGCAATGTGTTCATGTATTTCATATTATAATATAATTTTAAGATTATTAAGCAAGTTGTGTTAATCACTTATTCAAGACAACATTTCATGAGTTGCTGTGTACTGTGAGTCACTTTCATGGAATGTGGTGGTGTAGATGTAACTGTCATTTTACAGCAGAGGAAACTGTTGGCTGACGGAATTGAAATGCCCCAAATCACAAAGCTAATAGTGTTGAAACTAATACAATGTGATGTGGGTCTGTGGAAGGCACAGATAAACTGTATGTGTCTCAATTTCTGACCTTTTTTTAAAAAATGCAATTCTGTTATAAAACTGTGTAATTTTCACAATTCTTTTGTCTTGTTGAGTCCAACACAATGGTGATTTTCAGATCCTGGAGAGGGAATCTACAGTGAATAGATACCTCTGTTGGTTTTTAAAATATAGATCTTGTCACCCAGATGCAAAGAATTAGAACCTCTGAGCGTAGGACTTGGTGTATATATTTTGGAATGTTTTATCATGTGCACCTTTGATTAAGAGGCACCAAATGAGAACTAACACCACAAATCTCAAGTTCTATTTTGAAGAATTTTTGGTGTGGCTTTGGTTTCTAGTAGCTCATCTACTTGTGCAATATTTTAACAGCTCATTATTTGTGGACTTGGAAAAATAGATGTCAATGACTGGAAGGTAAACACCCGGTTAAAACACTGTACACCGGACAGCAATGTCGTTAAGTGGTTCTGGAAAGCTGTGGAGTTTTTTGATGAAGAGCGACGAGCACGATTGCTTCAGTTTGTGACAGGATCATCTAGAGTGCCTCTGCAGGGCTTCAAAGCACTACAAGGTAAAAAGAGGGAGAGACTGGCACAGCTTCTCTAAGCTTCTTGTAAGCTTGTGGAGGTGGGGATGGCAATATTTAGTTTGTACGGATATTTTACAAACCATGTGCTTATAAACAGATTCTCTTTTCACTCTATTTCTTATCTGTAATACATACCATGAAATCTTCTTCTCCTTCCTTCTTTTGTTCCCCTCCTAAGAGCCTTTTCTGCCGGGTTCTCTGTGATTGTAGTGAGTGCTGCATGCTAGACTGGACTATTCATGGTGATGCTCTGCCTTTTGTTTTCTGGTTGCTTGCTTATACTTCTGTTGCACATTCCTGTAGTGGAAGTTGTTCATTTCATGTTCACATTTCAACCTGGCAAAATATTTACTTCCCTTGCATGCCTCTCCCCTCTACTCTTTGTTTTAATAGAAACAGGCAGTTTGGGTCATGGAAGCCATCTGTTTGGTCAGAGCACTTCAATTATTGCATGGCCTCACACCATTGATGTATAACAATATTCCATTTTTTAAAGAATTGTTTTCTGAGGAATAAGCTGTTTAATTTTGGATGAATTGGTAATATTGCTAATGACTGTGGTACTTCACTGTGCTTTCCTTACCTCTTAAGCTCTTCATTTTAAAAGCTGCTGCTACTGGTGATGAGGGAGGATATACAAAGCAAGGCTGGTACATAATGTCAGTGCCATGCACAGTGCATACCTTGAAATTCCACAGGCAAAGTTGTGTCCTTTGAGATGTGTTTATTTTCCCTGTTTGGAGAACTCAAAATTGTATTCCTTTTCCATATATTTATATGGGGCATCTGTGTTAAAATTGTATATGATAAACTATTAATCTGATCTTAGCCCATTTTGAGTCATGAAATCTAAATTTGCATTAGGTTGTCGTTTTTTAAAAAAAATTATGCATATATTTTATCTTGAATTTATCCAGTTACTTTTTTTTCCCTCATTCTTTGGAATATTGATCTATAAAAGAAGTTTGACCAAAGGATTCAATTCAGCACTTTTTCCAAAAATGAAATGGTAGCATATAAAGGCAAACAGCCTTATCCAAACCAACTTTAAAAACCCAGATTCTTTTTCTGCTGCCTCCGAAGTAGCATGTGTGGATTTATAGCATTCTCCTATCCCTACATCCTGTGGCTTATGTACCAGTTTTAATCTAAGATTTTAGAGATGAGACTTATACCCATGGTGATTTGACCCATTTTTTTCCTTTGCAGGTGCTGCAGGCCCACGCCTCTTTACCATCCACCAGATCGATGCCTGTACTAACAACCTGCCAAAAGCCCATACCTGGTATGTTATTTTTGTAACTTTCCTCACTGTCCTGTGTAGGTGTGTGTTTGTTCCTAACAGATTTGATTTTTCATTTATTGTTTTTACCAGTAAATTGACACTTAAAAGGAATGATAAATAACTCAAATTAAGTAATTTAAAAGAATATTATTCAGAAGTTGGTAATCTTTAAAGCATAGATTACTAATCCCGAATTAGTAATCTATACTTTATAAAGAAATACAGCCTTTTAACATACTGAGTGACATAAAGATTGACATGGTTGTATTAGTAGTACACATTTAGTATATAGATCGTTTAAATGAACTCTATAATATCTGATTTACTTATTCACAGCTTCAATCGAATAGACATTCCGCCCTATGAAAGCTATGAAAAGCTCTATGAAAAGCTGCTAACAGCCATTGAAGAAACATGTGGATTTGCTGTGGAATGATGAACTTCAAGGACTTACCCAGACTCTATTTATACCCCTGACTGACAGCCTCCCTTCAGCAGAGTTTAAAGAATGCTGAAATACAGGAAAACGCCCTACCCCCCTTTTAAATTTTAGGACACTGTGAGGGGAAAGGACAATTTTGAAATTCCTTTTCAAGGAAAAAAAAAAAGTCTTTATGCTTTGCCATGAGGACACATTCAGCTGCTATTAAAATTAATATCTTGAACCTTACAGAATGCTGACTTTTCCTGCATTTCCAGAGTTAGGCAGTATTCTACACTTAAAGACTACTACTATTTTTATAAAAGGTAATCTATTCAGAATGCTTCACAGATTTCAAGTTTTTCATACATCAAGACAACTTCAGCAGTCGGTACAAGTCACATTTCATTTTGATTGAATACATGATTTTGAACAGCTCCTGTACTTGCTCTTTGTAAAAATAAATAAATAAAGTTATTTTGAATTATTCTACCTTTGTAAACAATTGGCTAAAAAAATCATTATCTTTGAGAAATTAAGCCATTTACATGTTTAATCATGTTTTTCTATAGAGCATTATATTTTGCATTATGTGGTTCAACCTAGCCTATGTGGGTTGTTTTTATATTTTTCAAGCATGGATTTCCTGGAAATACAGCTGTATAATTTTGGTTATCAAATTCATAATACAACCATTTTGTCTAAACTTAGTAGTTTATTTCTTATCTAAGATATGTTCAGGGGTTCCTGTTTTTAAGAAGACTTAAAAAAAAAACTGATGTTTTTATCTTGAATCAATATGATCAGGAGTTTTTGGAATTACTTTTCACCTTAAATTGAAATACTGCATTTTTATAGTTTCTCAGAGCATGTGGAAGGGATAGGATTTTCATTCTTTTGCTGGGTCAGCTTGTCTTTAGTATATATACTACTCTTATAAACCAAAGCCTCTAATAAGTGCACCTAATTTATATTTTAATTACAGTGTAAGTGTCTATCAAGTAAACCACGCTGGAGCTTTGTTTAGCTGCTTATAACTTCAGTCAACTAAAATTATCAAGAATGAAAATTTTCTTCTAAATATTATTTAGCAAGCTTTAACTCTGTGGTACAAATCACTTTAAAACGGAAGAATTAATTTTGGAAGTAAAGGAATCCCAGTTCCCTAAGTGTTGAAAATTTGCATCTGACTTTCAAGGTGCGTGGCATGTCATTCAATCCAGAAGGCAACCAAAACTCCAGGGTGAGAGATTGGAAAAATCTGAAATCACAGGTGGATTTTTAAATTCAGCCAACAAAAAATATATACCTTCTGTTTTTAAAAACATTGATGTGATATTTTGGACAACTTTTGGATTTTGCAGTTTAAATATCAAGTGAAAAGAATATTTATGTTCTGGTTCATGTGATATAGTGGGTTCTAGTCTGTGTTTTTGAAGCCAAAGGGTTCCTCAGAGGTGCCGGATGAGTGATGGTTTAGAAAGGGAGGGAAAGCCTAGCCTATCCTCATCCCTTCCCCCTTCACCCAAAGCAGCTTCTATTTTTTCTTTTATATATTGGAATTCTAAGTAAGCTTTCCTGGGGTGTGTTGGTATGTGGGGGGGGGTAGGGAAATGAGTAGGATAAAACAAGTGGAGACTTTGCTGCTTTAAAAACAGTTTTCTGAGTATTTTAATGTATTTTATTTGGCCAAATTTGACTGCTACAAAAACTAGTCATAATAACTGTGCAGCAGTAATGTGCAGATATGCCAACTTTTCTTCCCACTGTTTTTCCTACTGCATTCTTAGTACTGAAGAAAATCTTGAAATGTACAGAAATGCTATTTGATTATCAGTAATTTTTAGCTTTTGTGAAAGTACATTAGTTACAGGTCCATCTCTCTTTTCTATAAAGCACGAGTGCAGTTTGTAGTTGTGCCTACTCTTATAATATTTCAGTAAAAAGTAAATACACGATGAATACTTTCTAGAATTCATAACTGACAGGGATGCCGTAATAATAAAATGATATTAACAGTTTTCTTGTACAGTATAAAGAAGGCAGAGCTGGGCGCGTGGTGCTCACTTGTAATTCCAGTTACTCAGGAGGTTGATGATCACAAATTTGAGGTCAGCCTCAGCAAATTACTGAGACCCCCATCTCAACAATCAAAAGGGGCTAGGGATCTAGCTTAGTAGTAGAGTACCCCTGGGCTCAATCCCCAGTACCACACATACACACAAATAAATAAACATGAATAAGTAAAAATTAAACAGGCAAATGTCATCTCTTTTTGAGTGCCTTTTAACTTTATAATAATGACTTAATAGAACTTAAAGAGAAAGAAATTATCCTACATAATATGTCTATGGTACCACCAACATAATAAATGAAAACATGATTTAGATTTCAATTTCAAAATTACATTAACTGATTACTTTCAAATGGGTGCTAATCAAACAAAAACACGCAGTGTGTCATTGAAACTTGGATTTGCACCTCATGTTTAATGTGAATATTTATTTCCACACATCCCTTTAACTGTTTTTCTTCCCTGTCCTTTCTCTAGCTATTATTTCAGATAATGTTAAGTGTCATCTTTCCATACTTTTGCCAATTCCATCATGAATTCATTATTTTGAACAGTGATTACTTTGTAGAGCTTATATGCAGTACAGCGGTGCATTTTGATTCAGAGGGCTTGTTTCTTGATGTAAAGAGTTTTTAAATAGTGCTGTGTATAGTGTACATTGTTTTGCACATAGTTTGTTGCCCTGAATGGGTTTATTTTTTATCAAGTCCTTTTTTCTTTCTTGTATTTACAATCCAGAGCACAAGTTTCTCCTCTTTTAAATACAATGTAATTTGCTTTATTTTACAACACTAAATCTGCTTTAAACTTCGGGTGCATTGGACTGATTGCACTGGCGGGAGTTAGAGATGGTTCCAGCCACCTCTGTGGTCTGGTAGAGCAGCTCCCTCTGCTTCTGTGTTTAAGCTGCAGCGTAGTCAACGGGTGCCATTTGTTGTGGTATTTAACATTCTTACGGTAGGATGATGATTGTACCAAATGCTGAGTTGTTTTATTTCTAAATGTAATTAGTTCACCTTATGTAATTTTCTTCCTTCTCTTGAACTGACTTTAAAAACAAAGTTTTATCATTTTCGTTGTATTTGTATTTATTACAGAGTGTTTTAGCTTTGATATTCTTTGTATTTTCACTCAGTTACATGAGCTTTATCGATAACATCTACATAAATGGTTTTTAAAAATTAACTATGTATGTGCCCATGCCGAAGTTGAGCAATAAAATGAATGCTGTTTGCACTATCACAGCATCAAAGTTTTTAAAGAATATTGTGTGTAATGAATTGTCTTGAAAAAATCTGATTGGCTCTACAAAAGGTGATAAGCTTAAGTGATAAAATGTATGCCTTAGTTGTTCCTTTATCACATTAAGGAGCTTTATCATTACAGATCCTTTATCACATTAGAGAGTTCAGGACCCCTTCTCTTTCTCCAGTAGAGCAGGAAGGTGCATGTTTTCTCCTGCCATGGCAATTTGATGAGTTGCCTGTGCCTGCTGAGGGCTGTGAGGTCTGTCTGGATTTAGAGTGGTCCTGAAACCAGTGTGTACCCAGGACTGTCGGGTCTGGAGGGCAGAGCTGTGGTAGGGACCTCAACATTTGCCAGTCCTGCCTTGGTGTTGCAATAAAATCCTCAAAATGAAAAGGAAAAATCAGTTCTACTCTCCTTAAACGCCAAGAATTTTAAGTTATGTGATTTACAACTCCATAAATGCTAGTGAATGAAAACCCAGCTAAAATACATAATGGGAAAAGAAATGCATGTGGTATATTTTTTTTTCATCTAGAAAACAGTCTATTTGAGTCTACACAGCACAGGATACAACAGAATGGACTACCTGGGAGACCTGTAAGTAGTAGCATGTATTAAAGAGTTTTAAGAGTGGGAATGCTGTGCTTTTTTTTTTTTTTTTTAGTTGTAGATGGACACAGTATCTGCTTATTTTTATGTGATGTTGGGGAGGGATCAAACCCAGTGCCTCACATGTGCAAGGCAAGCGCTCTACCATTGAGCTACCGCCCCAGCCCCATGCTGTGCTTTTAAATATTCATTTGAAATTTATTTATTTTCCTTTGTCTCATTGCCACATTAACTGCTTTTTAGCTAAAATTTATAAGGTTTTAGTAAAGATTTTTGATAATTTAATAGTCTACAAATTAGCTGAAAGTTTGATTTAATGTTTGTTGGAAGTTTTTCTGCTGTGTGGTAACCGGAGAAGTTTCTCCCTTTGCTAATTACAATCAAGGTTAACTCTATTTCCCACTACATTTATTTGTACTTTCTATCCCAGTTGTCTACAAGGACAAATTTAACTGGAGGGGAGCCTAGCACCAGGATAGATGAGGCATTTATACAAAAGGGTTAACCTCCCTGTGTTAGCAATCTTAGCAAACAAAAATTAGGTTAAACTTTATATGGGAGGTGTTGTTTGCAGCGACTTCTTTGTTCATTCAGCAGATATTTACTGCTTTTCTCCTGTATGCGAGGCTGTGTGTCATAGCTGTGGGTGGCTATTAGAAAACTCAATTTCCAAACCAATGCTTCAGCCTATGTCTCAGTGAAGGCCAGATTCAAACTGGCTCAAAAGTCAGTTCTCAGTCTGCATCCAGCAAAGTAATCAGTTCAGATGGGAGGAGCACATGATTAAGCCTTTTTTCAGGAAATTTGTTGAGATGTGGCTGAGAAAGCAATTGGTTTTGCTCCAGGAGCAAAAATATCTCGTCTGGTAGCTCAACTTTCTATCAGCTGCCATTCCAAGAGGGCAGCACTTGAGACCACAGTATTTGATCCAATTACTTACTTTACTCCAGGACAGTCAGATCTTACCCCTTCTTGCCTCCTTGGGCATTGTTTCACTCACAAGCTCCTCCCCATGCCTTCATGGGAACCTCACTCCTCCCTGCATCCCTGCTGTGGTACGCTCTGCCCCCCCAACTTGCTTTGATTAGCAAGGCCCCCATATCCATAATTGCCCTGAAGCTTTCTGCTCCTAGCCTTCTCTAAAGCCTCCTTGCTATGGAGGACACCATCCCTGCATGGGTTCTCTCTCCCCACATGCCCAAACCAGAGATTGGATTGTTGTGCTCTTGTCCACTTTTGAGTCCATGTGCAAACTGTCTGGCTTTATAACCTTTGCTGCTTCTCACTGCTGTCTTCTCCCACCCAATAGAAGCCATGATGCTTCTTTTCTCTTATCTTCCAATGTGTTCCAAGAATCCTGCACATACACTGTAAAGGCTCAACTCAAAGGCCTACCTCTGACGACCCAACCTATATTCTAGCTTTTATCCAATTTGGGGGAGATGGGGGGAATCCTCTTGTGTGTGTGTGTGTGTGTATCTATTGTTGACATGCAGCAACAGGCTTTAGGGACTGTCTGCTAAGTTTAGCACAAATCTGACTAATGAAGAATATGTACCTTCACTTCCCTTTTCCAGGTTGAAGTCAAATTCAAAAGCAAGCTGGGTGTGGTAGTACATGCTTGTAATCCCAGAGATTCTGGAGGCTGAGGCAGAAGGATGCCAGGTTTGAAGCCAGCTCTAAGCAACTTAGTGACTTATTTGAGACCCTGTCTTCAAATAAAGTAAAAAGGGCTGGGGATGCTCCTCAGTGGTAAAGTGCCTCTAGGTTCAATCCCCAATATCCAAAAAGAATTTAAAAAAAAAAAAGAAAAAGCAGTAAGCTTTAAGAAAACATTTTTATTTAAAATATTATGAGTATTGGAATGAATACACAGATAAGGCATTTAAAAAAATTCTTCTGTTTCAGACTGTTTACTGGCTCAGTTCTAGCTCTGTCCTGGTAAAGACCTCCAGAAACCTCACCTATGAAATCTGGCCTCATGAGAAGGGATTCCGACCATACTGAAGAGAAGCCAGCTGCAGCCGAGCTCTGAAGCGCTCAGCTTCCAGTTCCCGGAAGAAAGCGTCATCGTCGTTCTGCGTTATCATGTTCTGTAGTTGCTGAATTTCCTTCTCCATCTTAGATCTCAGCTCCCTCTTCACCTTATGTAATGTCTAAAAGAGAATTCATGTCATCCTTTTACTCCAAACATTTATCCAGCCCTTGTCTATTTTTAGTCTTTGTTCTACCTTCCAGCTCATCAAGCTCCTCCAATAAAATTATAATTTAGCAGCAGCTCTTATAGAGACCTGAATGAGTGAAGTTAAACTCACAGGACAAATATCTTGGATGGTAAATGGATTACCTTATTAGTATTCTCTCCATTTCCTAAAAGGTACAATACCATTTTCTATTTTCTAGAAAATTTCTATCCTGTTAATTATTACCTGAGCCTGGAATTTCTCTCGGGCTTTGAGTTCCTGACGTTCCTGTGATATGGCTTCTGCCAGCAATGAAAACTGTTTATAAGGAAGAAAAAGAAATCTTTATTTAATGTTTTCAGTCCAAATGTAAAAATTCTTACACTAATGTTCACAGGCTTAAAATCTTTTCTTAGAAATGAAAAAAAGCAATACAATATACTATAGCCAAGCACTAGCTTATTTTATCTTAAATTTGTCTTGGAAATAGAGTTATTGTAATTTATACAGTCTGCAAAGTTCTGAGTTAACAAACAGAGGTTTATTGTCTGTATACTAAGCCAACTTTTGACACAGGTGGTCAAGATCCAACACATTCTAATGAGCCCACCTGGTCCTTATAGTAGTTCTCCATAGAGTCCAGTTCATTCTGATGCTGTCTCTTTTCTTCGTCTCTTTTTTCTTTGGCATAGTTTCTCAGGTCTTGTAATCTTTGTTTCTGAATTTGTAAACCTTCCTCAAACAGCTTCTTAAATATCTGTCATTTAATGACAAAGATAAATTTAAGCTGAACTTCATGATTGTTTTGCTCAACTACAGGTAAATACCAATAGTATTTTTTTTTACAGATTTTTAAAAACAGGAGGCTTTATTACTATTATTCACATATCATAAACTAACCTTCTTAAAAACATATACTTTGGTAGCTTTGAATAATTCAGAATTGTGCCATCATTACCGCTAGTTTCAGAACATTTTTGCTCCAAAAAGAAACCCCATGTCTGTTGGCAGTCACTCCCTATATACCCCTCCTTTTAGCTAGCACCATCAATCTACTTTGTATATATGGATTTGCCTGTTCTGGACACTTCTTTCTCTTAGCATAATTTAGCATAATGTTTTCAAGTTTTATCTACATTACAGTATATATCAGTACTTCATTCCTTTTTATTGTTAAATATTCTACATGAGTTTATATTTTAATTATATTTACATTTAATTATTATTTTGTTCATCCATACTAGTTGTTTCCCCCTTTTGATATTAGAAATAATGCTGCTATGAATATGTGTGTACATCCATACCTAAGGATAAAATTACTGGGTAACATTAACTCTTTATGGTCCTCTGGAGGAACTGCTAAGTTTTTTCCCAAGCAGTCACACCACTTTACAACCTCATTATCCCTGCATGGGAGTTCCAGCTTCTCATCCTTAACTGACTTTTGTCTTTTGTATTCCCATTCTTGTGCATGTCAGTGATATATTGTAGTTTTGATGTGTATTTGATTAATAATGTTCAGCATTTTCTTACTTATCACAGAGATCCTTTACTGCTCGCTTCCAGAAACGAATTCTCAAGCAGCCATGTGTATAAGGCAGGAACTCCAGAGCAAAACATGCTGCACTTCTGTGCAACACTTACATGAGGTGGTTGGCATTTGGGGAGCCATGGAAAAGAAATCTCTTCAGCAGGTTTGATACGCTACTTATTCTTTTTTTTTTTTTTTTTTGGTACTAGGATTGAACCAGGGACATTTCACCACTAAGCTATATCTCCAGCCCTTTTTATTTTTCATTTTGAGACAGGGTCTTGCTAAAGTTGCTGAAGATGGCTTTGAACTTGTGATCTTCCTGCCTCTGCCTCCTGAGTCACTGGAATTATAGGCGTGTGCCACTTGGCTCGGATTTCAGATTTAAAATTTTAGGACTACTTTCTTATGACAAAGAAAGTAGTCCTAAAATGTAACAGACACAATTTACCTTCTTAACAGGGCTGGGGAGAAAGAACACACTTACCATTTCTTCCCGGGTTCTCATTCTCATCATTTTTGCACGCAACTGAACTCTATAATCATCATAATATTTTCGGGCACGAATAATTTGCTGACGATTTTCTTTTATTTTTGATTGGGTCAACCTCTGTCTATAAATGCAGTCCTTAAAGTCTTGCTAGGAAAGGAGAAGAGGATGTAAGGATAAGAGGAAGGCATATACATCACATC